CTCTCTGACTAGTCCCATAATGTTCAGGGAAAAATACCAAGAATAATAAATCCAAATCTCTGTATAAAATATACCTTCATGACACACTCAAGCTGGAAATCACAGGAACCAATAAAAATGCAGGCAGCCTACTGATAATGAGGTCAGAAATACAAATAAATTTACTTTTAATGAAGACTGGAGGCACAGTAATCAAAGTGTTAAAATTCATTTCATGCATATCTCATTTGCTTCTTAGCTGATATTTACCACGCAATTCTGTGAGAAAGTAGAGGCCCAAGATGCTCCAGATAAATGGCTCAATTAATTGTACAGAGGTAGACCTCTTTGAGCTGAGCCAGAGCTGTGAGCTCTTTATTAAAAGCACTATTCTGTAGCCCATAACCTTGTTCCTTGACTCCTCTCTGGTTTCCAATTTAAACAAGTCCCCATGCGGCCTGCTCTAAAGGGCTTTGTCTCCCTGTCATTGTTAAGAGAGCTGAGGCATCCTGGAAGTGTGAAATCAGACCTCATGAGTTGAACGGTTCCCCAGGGAACGCCGGACTGCGCAGAAGGTCAAAGTCATGGGCCGGACCATCTAAAAGTGTCTGATCGCCGGTCTGTGACACAGCAAGTGGGGAGGGGGGTAGAGTGAAGAGGACTGAAATTGAACACATCTTAATTAAAGCCCACAGACAGCAAAACAAAATGTTTTCTAGGCACTCTGTCAAATGGGGCTTAAATTTAGTTCTGCTAATGAATGTGAGCTGCTAACTGTTATTTCTTAAGATAATAAGTCTCTCGCGGAAGCTGATTAAAAAAAAAAAAAAAAACTGTATCATGTCTTTTTCTGCTGTTTTGTTACTTAAATATTTTCCAACAATGAAGACAGTTTTCCTGAAGAAAAACATGGGAAAAGTCTATGCAAATAAAGGGGTAGTAAACATCTCCCTTAATAACTAGTAGATTTCCAGACTGCGGGGCTGGTGAGTTTCAAGTCTGTATGCAGAGCCTTGTTTTAGAAAAAGATATGCTCATTTCATGGGCATATGTCAATGACAGAGTTTGTTAATTGTAAAATTCTTTCTCTCCTTCATTTCCTAAAAGAGACGGTGCATTAATTTGAGAGATCAATTCAGCTGGGGTGGAGAAGTTTTATATATGAGTGTACCTTTTAATACAGTGAATAGGTAGGGCTTTGAAAGGGTTTCACAGTTCTCCCATATCACTGTTTCTGAAACTGAGTGCCTGGTCTCCCTGGGGAAACTATGACCTCTTCCTCTGGAGCTCAAAAAACAACCCAGGGGAAAATGAAGGGGAGGGGCTGAGGAGAAGAACCCTTTTCTCTTTCTTCTCTTAGTACTTGAAAGAACCAATAGACCAGGTCTAAACACTCTGCAAAGAAAGCCTCACTCAATATAGAAGACTTGAAGTGATCTGTTGAAAGCAGAAATTAGGCCCTGCCCAAGGAAAAGGATAATTAGAAGCTAGAAAAGACCATTTCCAACATGAACTGTTTCCCACCACTAAAAAATGGTGCCCCCTTCGGTCTTTCTCTCCTTCCAATCTGTCCAGTTCAAGAAACACTTGATTTAGTGGTATAGAGAACCTTGCCCAGTGAACACAGGACCAGAAAGTCTCTAGGTTTTGATTTGACAGTGTAGGGAAACATTAACCTTTTCACTGGTTAGCTGAAAGGTAAGTAAGTTATACTGAGCAGTATTTCTCTGTTACTCAAGTTTTTTTCTCTTAGGAAAAATTTTGCTGACCAACTTTTAAACCTAAAGTGCCACTTTCTCAAGGCTGTGAAAGGCTGCCCCCAATTTGACTGAAATTTCAATCCACTCTTGTGGCTCGCTCAATGCATGTGTATGTGTGGGAGTTGTAAATTGAGGCCTTAACCACCAGAGTTAATCTCTTTTTAAAATCTGTATTAACCTTAATGATTTGAAGTGCACTGTCCAACACTGGTCTATTGAGACTGAAGAAAAAACTACCCTCGACTATCAACTGTTTATTAGGGGCTTAACTGAAGTGACCTACTGTAGTAGTGTTCAGTTGAACAAGGCTATAGGCTTTTTGTGGAAAAAGAAAGAATTGAGGGTTTCATTAAAAAGTAATTTGTGCTTTATACTCACTCATTCAAAGAGAGTCTCAATTGCTCTTTATTCACACAGAGTTAATACAGTATCACAATGTTTCTCAATGAATGTGTCGTAACAAAAGAAAAATTTTACATTCTGAAAGGGAAAAATTCTTTATAACTGCAGTAAGATTGATGGCTACTTAAAAGATTATGGAATCTTTCCTGTGCTGATGTTTAATGTTGGAATATTATAATTTAAAATTTTCATCTTAAATAATTTTAAAAAATTCAGCTTAACTTATTACTTTATGATCAATTTAAAATATTAAAAATAAACAGAGTACAGTTGGCCAAAAGTAAGTTTTATTTCTTCAACTTGTGTAGAAAAACTTTTCTGCAGTCAACGAAATATTTTATAGTAATAACCACCTTTGGATCAGATCAGACAATATTCCTGGTTTTGCATAGAGAGTTATCAAACAAAAAAACAAACTCAAGTTGAGTCACTTCCTTTTCATTAACAACAATTCTAAAAGGATGCTAATTTGAGGATTTGAAGATATACTATTCACTTAATTCCCTCTTTTCAAATCGTTGCTTAGTATCTTATAGAGCTTGACTATTATTATCCACTGATACATCACATTTTAAAAGTTCTTTAAAAAAGTCAAAGTATAAAGAGAGCTTATTTGTGCCCCAAATCTAATGACAATGAACAAGAAGAATCAGGACATATATGTATTAATCCTTTGTAGAAGTAAAGATTATTTCAAAAACTTGGTGGTATATTCCAACATTTCTAAGTTAAATATATGGCCCTCAATTTTTGCCACCATAACAAACGTCACAAAGACCACAGAAGGTCCAAGAGTGAGCAAGGTCAAAGACTGAATTATTCTCTTGTCCTTGAATAGTTCAGCATCTCTCTTGTTCAATTCTGAGCACATTAGATTATAAGGTCAGCTTGGAATGAGGAATCATTAGATTTATATCCCTAAAACTCAAAGAAAAAAATGAAGAATTTGTTATTTAGTATTCCCCAAGTTAGTGTTCATTTTTATCAAATCAAAATTATGTTTCCTTGTATCTCTAGGGAAAAGCTATTGCTATTCATATTAATTTACATAGAACTATTAAGAAAGAAATAGCTCTATTTTTTCCAGCTTTGAAAGAACAAGTATTTTAACTTCCATAGTGGCACATAAGCCAACTGGCTTAACAAAGTTTGCATATTCATAAAGTTTTAAAAGTAATGACAGCTTCCCTCCAAAAGAAGACAAACATGTAATTGCATTCAACTTGTAACGGCAGGTGTAATGGAGAGGTATCTAAGCTTTTGAAGTAAATGATACTTGTATTTTTTTAATAAGAAATTATTATGCAAAAATTAATCAAATTATTACCATACCAGAAATATTTTTTAAAAGAAGAAAATGAATGAATCTAAATTGACCATTTAGTAAAAGGAATCAAGTCAGCATACATGCAAAAAGGTTACAAACTATCACCTCTCTCATGATTTTCTGGTTTGCTATTTTGAAAGAATGTTTGATAGCTTTTATTATCTTTTTTGGTTATAAATGAGTGGATAATTTTCACTCTCACCATTTTTATTTTTATGACCGAATAAACAGTCACTTGATAGTATGCAAATATTAAAATGAATGAATATTGTCATTTTGGAGCAAACATCTGCTATTTTAATTTTAAGGCATGCTACCTTTTAGTTTGGTTCTGATTCTGTTCAGTTAATTAAAAATCGGCATCACAATTACATAATAAATTTGGAGACTCTCAGATAATGGGAAAAGTGCATTTCTCTCCTTCAACTAAGTCAGTTACTTCTTTAGAGTCATTTTACCAAACATTAGCAAGTTCACAAAAAATAAGTGGATAACTTCAGATCCACAGAAATCTACACAAAAATTTGTCCAGTCAGTCATATTTACTATCCATCTTGAAAAGGATAATTCATGAAATGGTATAAATATCCCTACATCTTTTTAAAATTAAGCAATAATGAATGATCACATAGCTGCAGACTGAGGAAAAAAGGGGGGGATTTAATTCTAGACATTGATGAAATAATAACCATCAAGCCATTTCTTAACATGTCATAGCAAGAGCCATATCTAAATCAGGAAGCTTTAAATTAAGTACACAAAGAGGCAAGAGTAATTTTGGGATCTTTGGTGGCCTGCTTCCTGGATACAAAATTTAGAACAATTTAGATGCTTAGTTTAGATCCAGAATTATCTCTTGGTAGCAATGAAGAATTTGTACAGCTAAAGAATTGGCTCAGCAATCCAAATACCAAGAGTTCATACCAAAGTATTGAGTTTGATGCATTTCAGCTTTTTGTTGAACTATGCACACAGATTTCATTCACGTCTGAGTTACAAGTGTTGTGTTGCTATGATATCATCCGAGAGAAGATGGTACTGTGTGAGAGATGCTGAAATGATGAAAAAAATATCCCATTATGTTGGGAGCTCTGGTAGCATAGTACCTAAAGCACTTGACTGCTAACCAGAAGGCTGGCAGTTCAAATCCACCAGCCACTCCTCAGAAGGAAGGTTGGGCAATCTACTTTCGTAGTGATACTGCCTCAGAAACCCAAGAAGGGGTCACTATGAGTTGGGTCTGACTCGACAGCACATAACAACAATGTTGAATGAACACTGGAGAAGGCAACAGTGACCAGTTATTTTGTTTTTTATTGTTTATTTTTAACATATTACTCTGCCTTATAAAAAACAGTGTCAGTATAAAAATAGAGAGATATGCAAATTTTGTAAGATCACCTCTGAATCCTTATATTTAAATTGTTTACTTGGATCATCCAATAAGATAAAATGCAAAGTTAGATCATGAAATGGTGTAGAACTTGCATGCTGATTGATATATGCTAGAGGGGAATTGCATTATTTCTTACCTGTGACGTCAGCAGCCATCAACGCTTCAGCTCTGATTACTTTCACCTGAAGAAATCCTACGTCTTTCAGGTTGTGAAATATCCTCAATGGGCTCTGAAAGACCCCAACATCAGTATTAGCACCATGAAAGCACCTAAAAGGTCCTAAAGAGAGTGCTGAGAAAATGCCAAGGTTTACGGTGAATCTTAAGATGCTGCTCAAGTGGTTCATAGAGTCATTTGTGTTTTTTCAATATAAATTACTCTTCCATTATCACTTACATTTACACACACACTCACACACATACCAACATATTTATTTGATATTTGTTGCTGTGTAAGTAGATATTTTTTGAAAGAAGAAAAAATACTACAACATTTCATTTTCTTAAATAATGACCAATAGATGGTGAATGTAAATTATAGGATAGGATATGTCTGCTTTCTTCTTTCAACCTCCCCACCAAAGCACTCAATTAATCTTTCATCTGTGGATATGGATGGCTTGGAAACTAATGATTCTTAGCATTGAATCTTAAGTTGTTGGTTGTGTAATGTCCTTTAGGGATGAGAAAGTTACTATTCAACTCACTATTTTTTTCTAGTGTTTTCTTCTTGTTGAGTTCTAGAAACTGCTTGTGTTAGGTAAGAGTTAAATTAACTAATGATCACCTTCTAATATTTAATTCAAAAGACTTATGTTGCTCTATAAATCTTTTCAGCAAAAGAGATACAAATACTGTATAAAAATAAATTAATTGCTGACTAATAATAACTTCAAAAGTGATGAGTAATTTTTCTTAAACTTATAATTTCATTTCATACATTCTAAAATGTATAGAAATGAACATATAGAAACTAATAGAAAAATAAGATCCAAGTTATAAAATTTGTATCACTTCATAAATTAATACTAGTGTCTTAATATGTGTAGTCCTTGAAGGAATTAAGAAGGACAACAATACAATAATTCTTAAGTCTAATTAAAGGACATAAATATTTAGAGAGTAAAATTAACCTACAGAATACCAATGCATATTTGTTTCTTTATGCTTCATAGCAGTTTTCTTATGAAGAGATCAGCATTTCTACTCAGTAAATCCAAGGTACTTCTTTATCATAATCTTTAAAATGCTTCATTACCAGGGAGCACAATATAATAAAGTTATCTATTAAAATGTAACTAAAGTAAAGAGCATTCTCATCATCTTATTAATAATGTGAATGTACTGACAAGCCAAAGCATACTGTGATACGAACTTTATCAGTCTCGTATGATTAGCCATTGTTTACACTGAAGTTATGACCTTGGTGTACTGAGAAGAGAAAATGCAGTTATATGTGTAATCTCATAGCCTAACTTTTAGAAAAAGGAATGTTTATGGAAGGATTAACGCTTAATCTTTTATTGTTTCTAAACAATTGTTTATCATCCCAAATCTCTTTAAACTACCCAGATGACAGGGTTCAGTGAAAATGCACTTCTATCTTCATTTAAATTCCTGTAAATTAAGAGTTTCACGGGGGGGGGGCTTTGAACATCAATTTAGAGGTGTGCAGGTATGCTGCTTTCCTAACACAGTAAGGATCAAGTTTGGGAAGCTTTGTCTTACCCAATATTCTAAACCAGGTAAGTCTCCTATCCTAATGCTGGGAAATTGTTTTATCATAAAGTGTCTATACTTTAATTTTCAGGAGCAATTTATACCAAGTTTCACTGCTACTAAAACAAATATCATCAGTCCTCATGTCTGAGAATCGTTTCATACTGGCAACTTTATTCCACAGACGTATTGTCTGCTGGTGCTTTAGCTGTGATGCTCTGCTTCCCATTTGAAGTGGGTAATTATTGTTGGAAGTGTTGGAAGGTTTCATTTCCTCAAGTCAGCTGACACTCAGTAATTTATTGCAAATTTCATATGTTCAGGCCAGTGACACATACATTATAATAACCAACCCCGTTGCTGTTGAGTCTATTCTTACTCATAGTGACCCTACAGGATGAAAGCAGACTGTCACAGCTTGCTCCTGCAGAGTGTTGGTAGGTTCAAACTGCCGACCTTTTGGTTAGCAGCCCAGTGCTTAACCATTTTGCCACCAGGGCTCTCTTTAGATTATAATACAAACTCCAGGAAAAAAAGCAAATAACTTAAATATATTAGTTTAAAAACATGACTTTAAGTAATGCTTCACCAGGAGATATCCCTGCCTTGTTGTTTATGGTTATATTCAAAGGCCTTAAAACCTGGATGGCTTCTGAAGCCAGAAATTTCCATAGCAGAGGAATCTATGATTTGCTGTGAATCCTTTCAGCCCTCAATAGATGGGAAAAGATTGAAATGCTCTGGAGAGGAGTCCTCTTTATTTTTTTAATGAAAGGCTGTATAATATATTTTCTCTATGGCTGCAGCAGCTGTCAGGAAGAGCATCTCAGTTCAGCTCTATTATGGGAGAGGCAATACCCCATCCTATGGCATCGAGATGCTCTGAGGGGCCAGAGCTGATTGACAGCTTGTCACCGTGACGTCTTATTCCATCTCTGTTATGGAGAAAATTAATGTCACACCACCAGCCTTATGACTCGCTGTCATCTTAGAACTGCTCACCTTTTATCAATGCTCTAAATAACATTTCAAGCCCATCGTCTCACGGTGGACAATCCGGTCAAGGGACATTAAATCGGATGACTGTGAAATGTCATAATAAAAATGGAATGCTAACAACTTCTTCTCTAAACTAGCTCCTCTGGTTTTTAAACTGTGACAAGGGGGAGCAAGGGTTCAGCATACCCGTTCTGAAAAGGTCATACAATCGTTCTTGGTCTACCACCCATTACTAACTGCCCCCTATTGACCTTCCCTCCTTCCCTCCCCCCAAAAGAAAAAAGAAAAATGGAATTAGCCATCTTTTCAGAATGTGGTGATCAAATAATGGCTCACACAGTAATGTCTGTTTAATTTGTGGGGCTTCGACGCTTAGCAATGAACAGCTAAATGACAGCGATGGAGAACAGTTTCTGGGCTATTTCATATAAGAGTGGGGACAATTCATTTATTTTCTTGAGCACAATTCTTAAGTTTAACCTCAACTTTTTAATACACATATTCTTATAGGAGAGCATGTAAATAATTCTCCAAACTAATCAAATACCCTGCATTCTATGTATCTCAAAAACAAGTGGTATTTCAGACACAATACTCCATTCATTCACTTCACAATCTGAATTATAAAAAGAGAACACACTGAAGCCCTAAGATACAGGTCTTTGTCCTTGTATTACGTATGCTGTAATGCATGTTGTAGCTCCTTAGCAAGTATGTGTATGGAGGGAGATATAGGCCTATGTCTGAAATTCAGGGTTAAGGTTTTTTTAATATATTTATATATATTTCATTTTAATATATTGAGTAGAATGTAATCTGATAATTAGCTGGGCCATTCACATAATATTTCATATTTTATTGAAATAATATCTAACATTTGAAAGAAAATAAATAAATATTCAAATTCTGAATGGAAATGATTTAAAGAAGTCCATCCAGCAAAAAAAAAAAAAAAAAGAAGAAGAAGAAGAATCACTAAGACCTGGATTACTTTTAATTACCTATGTGGCAATATCATTCTAATATATGGGATAGTATCAAAATATTAATCTATCAAATATAGTCTTTAACACTTAGTAGAATTTTTATGTTAATACACAAATTAATTCCTTTAAACTTTTTTTGAATTCATGAAGATCACTACCAGTAACAAGAGAGTATATTGCACAGGATACCAAAGTGTGAATTTTCCTAACTGCAATTATATACAGATGCCACACAACAAAACCTTAGGCACTTAGTTGGTTTAAGAATATATACTATTTAGCCTTGCTAAGTCACCTCTATTAAACTGTTTATGATAACACCATTGGTGGATGAGTTGTACAAGCATTAGCAGACAGCTGATTCAGTGGAGATAGCCAGAATAAATTTGCTGAAGCACACATCCTGTTAATCTGTTTGAAGAATATTGTAGAGCATTAGCACCAGCACTTCATGTTATCTGCACAGCCTGATAAGGTACATCTTTATTAAATTCAGTTATTGAAAGGATGTCAGTCAGCAAATAGGAAAATTTTAAAATCTAAAAAAAAAAAAAAAATTAAGCACTTCTTTGTTAGTCAGAGCTTGGTTTCATGGCTGAGTGTCTAGAGGAGCCTTCTAAACACCTGGCAGCATGGTACAATGCAAGCTTTGTAATTTTAAGTGGAAAACCTTTCTCTCCAGCTTCATGAGTACTGAGACATTTACTTTTTCCGAGTCGCCTTTGACAGAGAACAGTGGAGTAAGAGCTCCTCTCTCTGTTGATTCAAGAAAACTACACGGCGGGAAGTGCATTGTGCAAGGATGCTGGGAAATAAGTGGATTTGGCTGTGAATTTTTCATCTGGTAAAATCTGAGGAGGGCAGTTGTTTTGGTGATTCGCTGTTCTACCTTGTCACTTCACATCTGATTAATAGGTAAAGCCCTTTCATCTTAATTTAATTTGACATTCAACTAAAAAATCATCAAAGAAATAAAGCAAGGCTTTTCCAAGCAGTTGAAAATAAAAATCACTAATTTTAATCCTCTCTAGTTACCAAGCTACTAATGAATGTAAATGTCATTAACTCCATTTCAGCCTTGGTAAAACAAAGAAATCTTAATTGCAACTACAAAGAGTTAAGGAGTTATTTTTAAAGTGATTTTGCAGAAAGGCCTAAACTTGACTTTTCTTTATGGAAAGCTTCCCTGTGTGATCATTTTGCTTGTAAAAATCAGTGAGTAGAATCTCAGAATCCCACACCTAGCTCTCAAAGAGACCCTAGGGACCATGAGACCTCTTGTGAATGGTGGATGATACATGGGTTTCTGTGTGGCATTTGCATTTGCCCAGCTTTCTGCCCCTGCCAATCCTTCCTTCAGACAGCTCTCTGGGTACTTCTATCACTTCAGGTAAATTATTTACACTCTTGTCTAGTCACACATGGACCCTGAAGGAGGAGGGTTACATACGTACATATCTCTTTAATATCTCCTCCCGTTCTTTCTGGTCCTCCACAGAGTTGACAGAGAGGTCAGAGATGCTGACTGTGGCCGAAGCTGTCAGGGTGACCAGCAGCACCAGATGTCCCTCACCCTCTTCCAGCTGTAACTCCAACTTGTGCGTCTGTTCCCTACTGAGGGCTGACAGGTCGACCTGGCACCTGGAAACAAATGTTTTGAATCAGCAAATGGCTTTCTTTGCCACATCAAATGGTAGAAATGTTGGCTGCTCAGAGCTACATGAAAAATAAATCAATAGAAATACTATTTCTGCCACTGGAGGAATGTCTTCATATCAGCTGACTTCACAAAGTTCATACTCTGATCATTTTAGTGTTTATAATAGTTTATTTCCTATAAGATATATACATATAATGTGCTTATCTGATTTTATTACTATGCACTGGTACCATATTCATAAAGCAATGAGGACTTTCAAGCCCTAGATAGCCTGAGGAATTAGGTCAGTGGACTTTGCTGACATAAAGACTATCGTGATCTAGAGGCAAACTATCAAGAACCTGAATTTTTGCATTACTTTTACAACAATGGGTAATTGCTTCTCATTCATAATTTTTAGTAAGCAGCAAATAAGAACATGCACTATGGCAATATCAGAAGTTTAACATTTTTCATGCCATGACAAATTATTACTAATATACTGCATAAATCCGAGTAAAAAATAAATCCCCTGAAAACACTGTAGTTCAAGTGTTATGCACCAGAGTTGTCCTAACAGTGGTTTCATAATGTGGCAACCCATGCTATGTCTGCCACTCTCAGAGCTAAACACCTTGCAAACTCTTTTCATAAAAATGCCAATTGATTTTGAAGAGAAAGATAATGTGGTGGCTGTGAGGCCAGTGAACTGAAAGAAAGGTGGCAGGCATGAATAAAAGGCATTTAAAATAGGAAATAGCCAATTACAAGAGTAAATGTGGTAACATATCATAAATAGGGTGTCCTTATGAGGGACATATTAAATTCTTGCTCCTTCTTATTCCTCATCCTGTCTATTTATTGTCTCTTGTTTTGCTCTTCAGTTAGACTCCTGTGAATAGGGCATCAAAGCTCATAGTTGGGCTCAATTACCTTTTTAGCATGAGCGATTTTTAGAAATTGAACGTAAGTCTGACATTTTCCTTTTATTTTTGCCTATTAGCTAACATGGTAAATTGCCAGGACAGAACTCAATGGGAGGAAGAGGAATGTAGATGCAAAAAAAAAAAGAAAAAAAGCAAAGAAGCACCCTGGTAAGTGGTACGAAGTATGTGTGTTAAATGCTAACAGTTGAAAAAGCAAGAAATTAAAGCTCATACCAAGTGTGGAAAAGAAGTTAAGCGTTCTGTTGCTACTGAAAGGTTAGCACTTCAAACCCAACCAACTGCTCTACAGGAGAAGACTTGGCAATCTGCTCCTGTAAAAACTGCTGCCTAGAGAACTTTATGAGGCAGGCCTTCTCTGTCATAATGGGTCACTATGAGTTGGAATCAACCCCACAGTACATAACAACAACAACCAAATCCAGAAAACATCTCCCTAGAATTAGAGTGTGTGAATATATACAGTTACCATATTGCTCTGCTAATGTTGTTGTTATGTGCTGTCGAGTTGACCCCAACTCATAGCGACCCCTCCTTAGGTTTTTGAAGCAGTATCACTACGCAAGCAGATTGCCCAACCTTCCTCCCGAGGAGTGGCTGGTGGTTTGAACCGCCAGCCTTCTGCTTAGCAGTCAAGTGCCTTAGGCACTACACTACCAGAGCTCTGTAATACCCCCTATTAAAAAAAAAATCCAACTCAACCCACTGCCATTGAGTCACTTCTGACTCACAGAGGCCCCATTGGGTTTCCGAAGTGGTAAATCTTTAAGGAAATAGACTGCATTGTCTTCCTTTTGTGGAGTGGTTGGTAGGTTTGAACCATCAACCTTCTGGTTAGCAGTCAAATGCCTTAGGCACTGCACCACCAGAGCTCCTTACTACTCCCTATTATGTATACTAAAAAAAACAAACTCATAGCCATCTAGTCAATTCTGATTCATGACAACTCTCTTTGGGTTTCTAAGGCTGTTAATCTTTACAGAAGTAGATTGCTTCATCTTCCTCTCATGGAACAGCTGGTGGGTTTGAACCACTGACTTTCTGGTTAGCAGCAAATGCCTTTCCCGCTATGCTACCAGAGTATAGATAGCCTATTTCACTTAATTACTGCATCTGGTACCAATAGGCTTAAGGGTTTGTGATGCTTGCAATTTTTAATTTACTAGTGAGTAAATTCAGGACCAGAGAGATTACAAGATTTAATGGAGTTATATAGTTGTTACCAGCAGAGCCAGGACCTGAACCCAGGACTCTGAAATCTAAGTTCTAGGCTTTTTCCTTGATCAGTCTGTCATTAAGCAATCATACACCCAACAAGAAAGTGTGTGCTAAGTGTGTGGTTCTCAATCCTGGGTAATATCTGGACTTATTTTTAATAGAAGGAAAAATCTCAGTTTCCAAGTCTGGAATTACGTTATCTTTGTTATGTTATTGTTGTTGTTGTTATGTGCCCTCGAGTCATCCCCGACTCATAGCAACCCCTCCTTGGGTTTCCGAGGGAGTATCACTACGGAAGTAGATTGCCCCATCTTCCTTCTGAGGAGTGGCTGGTGGATTTGAACTGCCAGCCTTCTGGTTATCAGTCAAGTGCCTTAGGCACTACGTGATCTTTAAACATTGGCAAGAAGTTGCAAACTAGGCAAGAAGTTACAGCTATTATAAGATGATAAACTAAGAAAAATTTGAAGTTTAAAAATTGTAATTTAAAAACAATGAAGCTCATAAAATTCAAAATAGCTATAAATTTATAGGAAAAATCATGTTTTTTTTCCTGCCAAAATTGATTGTTCAGTATTGGATGTTCCAAATGAAAGAGTTAGTCTCATATCAGAATTATGGTTTTAGCAATTTTAATGTGGACAATGCCTGTTTACACAGATACATTGGACAAACGTATACTGATGACTTCAAAACTCTTTTTGCTGGTTGAAGTTAATCACATCTCCTATTCATTTTAAAATGCTGTTCAGGAATAATCTTCAGACACCATTTTAAATGAAGTGTCACCTGATAACAAAGCTAAATTGTCTTGTTAACTTGTTAAAGTTAGCATTACAGTATCACTGACATCTGTATTAGATGGCATCAAATTAAGTCAAATTACTGCTGAAATGGGGCAGAGAAAAAGCTACCTCTTTGCTGCTTTTGAATGATTTTAACTTACTTTGTGTAAACATGGTATCTTGCAACAGTCAATTGCAATGTTAATATGGTACTAATTATTGTGGGGCAGATTCACTTGTATTTGGCTCCCCTGTACCTCTAAGGCCTGAACAGATGAAGGATTCAATACAGTTTGAATACAGAAAAAATGGTTGTAAGATGTTATCCAGATGGTCCAGGGTAGGTGAAAATAAATGGTTCTATATTGTTATCAAAACGAGAATGCAAACTTAAAAAGTTTTAAAACAAATTCACAAACTCTGAGAATATGTCCACAGCAGCTGACACAGGGAAAAGAGCCCTGGATTGGGAATCAGATTCCTTGCTCTAGCTCTCCATCTTTCACTAATAAGTTGTGTGACCTTTTTCAAGGCAACCTGTCCTCTCGAATTTTAGTTTTCTATTCTGTAATGTGAGGTAATTTGCCTAGATGAACTTCAAATTCTCAGCATCCCCAAATTCCATGATTTGTTATAACTGTATCCATATTTACACTTGTTACATCTTCCTTTCTCTGCAATTCTACAAAACAAGACATTAAGAGAACAAGCTTGGCTTACAGGAAATAAAATATTATTCTTCAGATGTATTTTCATAATGCCAACCAGGAGGAGAAACCGAAACAAACAATCTAATAGAAGCCAAAAGCAAAGTAGATCGTATACTGAATTCCTCCTCTAAGTCTGCCACATGTAGCTAGTGACTCTGAATTCCTCTAGGTCTGTTGTATACTTAACTTTATGATCACTCTGATTTCTTCTAAGCATGCGAAGTACAAAGCAACTTTCATGGCTTCTGATAATAAACTTTTGTTGTTGTTGTTGCTAGTTGGTGTGGAGTTGATTCTGACTCATGGTGAACCTGTGTGTGCAAAGTAGAACTGTTCCACAGGGTTTTCAAGGCAACCCTCCAGAAGCAGAGCATCAGATCTGTCTTCCGAGATGCTTCTGGGTGGTCCAAACTGCCAACCGTTCAGCTAGCAGTTGAGCGCTTGCTTGTACCACTCTGGGACTCCTCGGTGGTGGTGGTGGTGTCATCCAGTTGACTTTGACTCATAGTGACCCCATATAACTGAGTAGAACTGCCCAAGTTTTCTAGGTTGAAATCTTTATGGGAGCAGATTGTCAGATCTTTCTAGTGTGAAGCCCACAGGTGGATTCAAACAGTCAACTTTTGGTAAGCAGCCAAGCACCTAACTGTTGTGCCACCAAGTCTCCTTAGGGACTCCTTAAAACCCTATAAAAAAATGTCTGTCTTAGCATATTTCCTAAATACGACTACAAAATAAACTATAATATAATGAAATGTTTGGTTATAACATAACCAAAACCAACCTAAATTCAGTGTCATCCAGTTGATTCTGACTCATATCAACCTCCATTCGGTTTCTGAGACAGTAAATCTTTACAGAAGTATAGTGTCCCATTGTACTTCTGCAGAGTGACGGGTAGGTTTGAACTGCCAACCTTCTGGTTAGCAGTCAAATGACTTAGGCACTGAGCCACCAGACCTCCTTAAAACTATAATATAGGCAAATAAAATTCCTCTCATCTCATCATTCATAGGATTGAAGGGCAGAATGACTGAGCTATAGAATATTGAATAATCATTGGATGACAGTGCTGTAAAAATATATAATGTGTTCACTGCATGTACCTACTTTTTGTTTTGACCCACATTTCAAACGAAAAAAATTTGAAGGGAGTCCAATGTGGATCTGGATGTCAACTTAGATTTTAAAAACCACTACAGTTTTATCACTTCTAACAGTTGCTGTCAGGGTGATTCTGTCCTCATGTGTGTCAGAGCAGAACTAACTATGCCTCATAGGACTTCAAGGGGTGATTTTTTTTTGGAAACAGTTAGCCAGGCATTTTTTTCCCAAGGAACCTATG